ATACAAATAACCATATAAACCACACATCGGAGTAAAAATGACTGTAAAAATACATATTATTTATTGTGGTGGATGAGGGTATGGATCCAGATACAGGAGTCTCAAAAACCTAATAGAACAGGAATTTGAGACTGATGATGTTGAAATATCTGGACAATCTACTCCAGGAATTTCAGGATCTTTTGAAGTCAATGTCAATGATAAAGTAATCCACTCAAAAAAGAATGGTGATGGATTTGTTGATAATGACAACAAGATTAACAAGATTCTTGATGCAATTGATTGCGAGAGGAAAAAATAAATTTTGGCTTATCCTTTATTCCCGGAACTAGGATTTGATAAACTTCATGTAGGCTACAACATTTAGTGCAATTAATATTATTTAAACATAATGATCTGGTGATTTTACATGATTATTCAAAGCTTTTGATATTGCTAATTGTCTGCTTTTCCCATTGCATTATTGTGCCTTGAACTGCATTTATTTAATGTATCAGCAACTCGAAAACAAGTCATGCATTCGTTTATCATATTTCAATGAGGGTTAGGAATATTGGAGAGATGTACAAATCTGACTAATGCACTTCATATACCAGCTACAGGTTTCGAATTAGATCTTTAGTATATTGAAAATTTACTTTTGAAATATGTTGATAATTTTTATTTACACCAGTATGTCGTTATCCAATTTCTAATTGTTTAACAGGTTATGTGTAACATATTCTTGGAAATGCATTTTTGTGGCAGACTCTGTTTTTGGTTACTGATTTCATATTCTTTGTATCTAGATCAAGACAATGTAATAGAATAATGAATCTGATTCTAACTTTCTTCATGACAGTTACCATGGAAACATGTTTTGCATGCAGTGATAGCTCGAACTTATTGAAATTTTGAATCAGAATCGTGTTTATTTGCTTATGTCTGTGATATATTTTTATTATACACTATTGGCTGAACTTCGTTTGCTTCTGCGTAATAGGGGGGATGTCAGTTTATATTGCCTGAACAGATTTCCTTATTAAATTTATATGGTTGCTTGGCTGACATATTTTTGCAGGAATGGATTCTTACATCTTGTGTAGGATGCAGTCTAGTGATTAATTATCATAGGTGTAAAAAAATCCTGACCTATTCATATAGATTGGTATTCTCAAATCCACAAGTACAGTATCAGAGGTTTCGGACATATGGAGCTTTGTTCGAATCGACCAGATCAGTGTAGTGTTACACGCCTGAAATTGTCCCATACACTGCTGAATATATTGTGTGTCCCCAAGAGTTTCTAGCACTGTTGACACATAATGTAGCAAAAACTCGCGATTTTTGGAAAGTTTTGTATATTATGCATTTTATATTAGCTGCATCATGAAGCATAGTTGTTCCCAGACATAGTTTAGCTGATATATGTTTTCACTATCAAGCGCAATATTGTATATTCAATCAGTCATATCGGATATGAATATGATCTCGCATGTGTCATATCCTGGTTCATGAAGAGCTCTTATCATCGAGTGAGCATCCGAAAATCTAACGTAATGCACTTTTGAGTTTAGCCGCTATCGCATGATAAGCATTAAAATATCCCAAATGAAACGGACTTTTCAACAGTAATGCGAAATTGTACTGAACTTTACTAGTTTTTTCTAATATGTTTATGAGACGAATTGAAACGTGCGTGCTAAACAAATATAATGAAAGGTGCGTCTTTTTTTTAAATGGATATACAGCCCACCACAAAGTAAAACAGGAATTAGGTAACGGAAGAACGAATGATATGTGTTGAGGCCCAGAGAACATCATAATTTAACTACTGCAGCGGAGAACAAACAACTAAATGTTGGTATATGAGGAGACACCCAGTTGATTTCCAACCTCAAGTGTTTACAATCAGTGCTCGAGGAGTGGCACTCATGCGACTACCACCGCAGCTGCAAACTCCAAGCTCCCTTTTCTGACGTTGCTGTGGTCCATATATATACTTGATCATTACGCTCATGATTGATTAATAAAAATCATCGTTATTTTTATATGCGAGTATTATATTAATTGTAATATATATTATATTATAACTGATTTATATTCTGTAGGAACTGTGGGAATAGTAATATCAAATTATCAGAACATGCGGCTTCTAATAGATATATATCTGTGATTTAGTTGCCTGGATGGCGTGTCAATGCTGAGGGCACATATACGTGAATTGATTTTCAAGCAATTGTAATTAATTGTCTGGACTCCCAATGATTGGCCAGCAAAGTTGGATCAATTGTAATTGATGTCAAAAACTTTAAGGCGTCCTTTCATCTGGCCCCCAATAACACGAAAAAAGGCGAAATATTTTTCTAATGGGCGTTTTCCGAGAATCGCCTTCCTTTTTTATTTCGTAAGTTTTCAGTCGTGGTTTTAAACAATACCTCATTTTGCGATTCCAAATGCTATTCGTTAGTTTTTAGTTGTGTTTCGGAAATTTAAGTTTGAATCAAATAAGTGAATCATTATAGTGCCTTCTTAGGAGTTGTAGAATTGTAATGTAATTGAAATATTTAAGGGAGTATAATTGCAATTGTAATTAAACTGAATTAATGTATATAATTGATCCAACTCTGTTGGTCAGTATTTGATGTTGAAATTAAAACGAACAATCATTTGGAAGGTTGGCACCTACATTTCAACAGTATGCATATAAAATATCACTACAGTGCCATACAGTGTTAGAATAGTGACAAGGTTAGAATCGGTTACAGTGACAAGGTTAGAATCGGTATAGAGACGGATGTTGTGGAGATACTGGAAGAAAATGTGATGATGAGCGTTAACGGTAGGTAGGCGGAAGCCAACGAAAAGGTACAGCATGTCGGGGAGTTGTTTAGGGACGGAGAGTTATATGTGGAACCCCTCATTAGGAATACGGGAATACGTGCTCAGAATATACGGGCCACAGCCCACAGTATTGCAAAGAGTAATTATATAACGTAACAAATGCCCTCATAATAGTAAGTAATCAAATGAAATCTCTTATTCGCAACAAAATAGCAAATGACATCCGTTAATTGTGTTTCGGTACATTTTTTTGCCATGCGCAGCGACTATCTGTTCCTGGTTTTCGTCATCACACCATGTCACCATCACACAAACGAAGTGCAAAATGAATCCCAAAGAGCAGTGAGTCGCGCCCCGGATGGGATTCGATGTAGATTTTCCGGGATCGCCTAACTTCTGTTAAACATGCAAACTAAAGTAGCCAGTAGTAGATTTGGGAGTTGAATTTGTGCGGGTAGGCGGGTCGTTAATGCAATTGAGCGATAGTGTTACGAGCGCCAATAATATTTTTAATAGCTATTTTGATCGTGTTACATCCAAATGAGTACTTTACCTCAGTCCTTATCTTTTCATGAGTAGCCTACCCAAGAGCGTAGCAAGCAAAAAATAGTTACCTGTGTTTGAGTAACATACTTTAATGTTTTGGCACAGACTCGAACAACAAATCTCGACATACCAACAGGTTCAAGGTCAAATTCAAGTTTATAAAAACAAAATTCTGAAAAAAATTGAAGAGATAGAAGTAATCGATTGATCCTCTTAGTGTACACTAACTTATATTTGAGTTATGCTTGAAGTACAACTGGTACACGGGTGGGGCGTCGTTTGCGAAACTTGTTTGCTGCGGGCGTAATACCCAGATGGAATGTTCGATCCAGCCTAAATTATATTCCGATAATGATTCATTTGGACAAATGTGTGTAGCCTACGTGCATTTCCGCATATGGTTGTAAATTAATTCACAATGATTCGGACGAACTGCAGTAAATGCAAGATGAAGGATTTAAGTTTCAGGATTCATCGAACGACAATCCTTCACTATATATACTATAAATATATACTAATAAGGACAGTTTCACGCAGTTGAAATTCCGGATATGTGGATATATATACCAGTAGCCTTATACCAACTTTTATTACTTCACTATATATATATTTTTCGCTAGAAGTCTAATATCTCTGTGGATTCTGAGGGATTCTTTTCTTTTGTGCGATTTTGTCTCCTGTGACAGATTGGATACCACTACTACTTAGTCTTGGCCGTCTTGTCTGAACTTCGCTTTCTTGTTTGGTTTCATATGGTATTGGTTAGGTGGGTATGTTTTCTCGGTAAGATATGTCGAGAAATCGAAAATTTAGGAATCGCATAAGAATAGAATACTTGTGAGTAGTCATACTCAGCATCCCTAATTATTATTAGTTTAGTTTTATGTTATTCAATTAGGATTGTCATTGATTAGTCCTGCAAGGCGACGTTCAGGTCGGCGTCAAGTTTGCAATCGAATCAATTGCTCACTAGCGCCTTTCACAAAATTTTATGTTTTCTCGGTAAGATATGTCGAGGAATCGTAAATTTAGGAATCGGACAAGAATCGAATACTTGTGAGTAGTCATACTTACCATCCTTAGTTATTATTAGCTTACTTTTATGTTATTTGATTAAGATTTTCATTGATTAGTCCTGCATGGCGACGTTCAGGTCGGCGTCAAATTTGCAATCGAATCAATTGCTCACTAGCGCTTTCACAAAATTTTATGTCTTCATTATTTCAGAGCTGAATATATTCCTCACGGTTCATCACCTAGCTTTCAGAATTTGTTTAGTTTACAAACACCGAAGAACTAAGGGATACAATAATACTAAATAGATTACTGCGCGCTATGCATTTGAAATATTATGATTAGTAAAACACGGACAGAACAGAATATCTAATAGACGTGCGTGACACTCTTGTACCAATTCTCTGAATTTTATACTCATTCATTTTCTTAAAATGTGGGCGGGTAAGAAGAAGCGCAATTGTCTTGAGGTGACACTTATTAGCGACAACAATTCAATGAAAGCAAATCCATGATGAATGTTTTAAATGGGTTCTTCCTGCACTATGGAGTGAAAAGCGGCACTGGTATTGTTTCTACAGTATTGATTGTTTCATCCAACGGACTGAAGGGATATATTTTAACCGAACACAGTAAGCGGAAAAATTCCATTCAGTAATTTATTCGTAGGTCCATTTGTTATTCAGTAGGATGGGTTTCTAATTGGTCATAACTTAATATGTTCATATTTTTAGAAGAAAAGTAAGAAATGAACCTATATGACTCGCTCCTGGTAACTGTTAGCTGTCAATCATGGCATACTAAAAAACGTATAAATGAGAACTTTCGGAGAATTTACAACGATGCTTAATTCTCGTATAGTCTTTCTCGAATTACAAACGGAAAATGCGTTTTGCAAGCCGTCAAATCAAAATTCCATACCCATCCTTTCTTCTACTGACTACTTTGGCTGAATTATTGTGAAATTTTTGTAAAAACTGACATTCGTCGACAGTGTGTTGTTATAAATGTAGCACGGAATCAAAATATTTACCTATTTGAAACACTCTTGACAAGACGACGACAGAGCATAATGAAGAAGTTGATTTTGGTAATTTATGTACTTATGACGATTATAGTGGCTGAATGTGCAAAATCAAAGAGGCCGAAAATAAAATTCTGTCGTAAGTACAGTACTATTTCTTTTTGTGTTTATTCAGTGAGCTATATGTAAAAACCATTGCGATAGGGCACAATCTTGTTTTCATTTGTACCTTTGAAATATCGAATTTAAATATATCTCTGGATTTGATATCCTAATCCTTCAAGTCTTCATTACGTCCTTACATCATCGTGGTTGTGCGGTTATTTGATTTTTGCTGTTATATGATGTAAATGTGATCATATTTATTTCGCTAATTAATTTTTGTATTCCCAGCCATGATGTCTTCAATGCCTCCAAACTACTGCCCACCAAAGCTGCCACCAAAGAAATGTGTTGGAAAAAACAAGAACCCCTGCAAAGACAGCAAGTGCTCAAAACGTGGAGCAAGATGTGTCCCAAATTATTGTGGATCTTGCCACGCTTGCTGGTATACTAACCCTTTTGTGGTGGCTAAGGATTGTTAATCAATTATGAAAATCATTGAGTTAATTAAGAAAAAGGAATCATAATTTTGACCTATTGTTACATAATAGTTGACATGTATAAAAAGTATAATCAGATAATTCGAGAATCAAATATAACTCTTTGATGAAATATATTTGTCTGTATTGGAGAGTGATTAATGGGGGATCGGGTGAGTGCATTATATCTAAATGACGCATCCATCTATAATATTTAACACATTGTGCGGGTATGTACTTGTTTTAATTATCGTCAATAGACCTTAAAAAACTTTTGAAGAACTTCTAATATTTCAAATAAATCTGTTCTCACAAGAAAATTGTTTCAAAATTTTCTATATGTTTCCAAGCTTATGTTAATAGTTAGTTAGAACGATTGCTTTGTTAGCTATTCTATTTTCACTCATGTTCAAATATGGTTTGAATACTCCCGACGAATGACTTAGTTTCAGTAGTTATCCAGGATAAATAGTAGTTATCGTATAGGTGAAACCTTCCTTTGCCCATGTCAAGGTAACGCACAAATTATAGACTCTTGGTCGCAGTTCGTATAGTAAAGTGTTGATGAAAGACGGACATATTGAATAATTGCACATGGGTATGATTAATCGATACAGTCATTCATCACATCTATTTCCCCACCTATTACTAATGATGAATTAGAATGCCAATAACTTCCACACTGTCGATGATATTGATCAAAAGCTGTACACAATTTAACAAATTCAATGCAAGGAGTTTAAACTGGTATCATATTCAGATTTTTCTACTTTGAGCTAGATATGATATTTTTTGTGAGAATAAGTAATACTATATGTGGTATTATAATTATAAATGATTTAAATTGTCTGCTGTGAAATTCAATTCTTCAGGCCTTCAGAGAGGAATACTTTTGGAACTGGTTCTTCCGATCTTTATTTACTATATTGAAAATTTATTTTTGGAATATACTGATAATTGTTATCCACACCAATCAATGTCTTCTTCTCAAATTTCTACTTGTTTCACAATTCCACAGGTTCGTATAGTAAAGTGTTGATGCAAGACGGACATATTGAATAATTGCACATGGGTATGATTAATCGATACAGTCATTCATCACATCTATTTTCCCACCTATTACTAATGATGAATTAGAATGCCAATAACTTCCACACTGTCGATGATATTGATCAAAAGCTGTACACAATTTAACAAATTCAATGCAAGGAGTTTAAACTGTTATCATATTCAGATTTTTCTACTTTGAGCTAGATATGATATTTTTTGTGAGAATAAGTAATACTATATGTGGTATTATAATTATGAATGATTTAAATTGTCTGCTGTGAAATTCAATTCTTCAGGCCTTCAGAGAGGAATACTTTTGGAACTGGTTCCAGTTTCATATTTTTTTTAAATGTCTTTACCTTTAGTTATATAGAAAACTTCAAACATTATGAGAACATTGTCAAATAAGCATATATATAAATCGGTTCCATTACATTTGAACCAACGTACATTTGAACCCACGACAATTGTACCTGTATTTTATTGCACCTATGGAAATTTATTTTGTTTTACGGATATTTGAACCCATACTAACCCTAACCCATGGGTTTTAGCACCCGTATATAGATTGAACCCGCGGATATACACATGGGTTCAAATGTACGGTCACCATATAAGTCAGTTATCTAACTCCCAAATAAAACAACGAATCATAAAGTTGAACAACTTGTCTGAAAAATTTATTCGACGTTCAGCTCTCTTCTTGTCTCGCAATTGAATTTTTTTAGGAAAAGTAGAAAAAGAACAGTTTATATTAATAAACATACTGTACTGAAATACCCTCGTCTGTGTGGCATTAGTAAAGTAGTCTACAATTTAATTTTAAGCTAGTCTATCTTCGCTTACTTTAAAAGACAAGAATGAAAGAATAGCAACACTGGCACTTGATCGTCACAGCGTTAGCACTCAACAGGTTCGAATGAGGTTGCGGTACCGGTGTTCCCCAATTCTGGTATTCTACTACAGGGTGGTCCAAGATTGCGAGGTTGGTGGGCCCCAGAAACGTTTGAAAATGTCTCGCGGGCGCAGTCGGAGAAAACCCAAAAGTGATCAAAACATCGCGAATTTACTCACTTTAAATATACTTAAGAATGAGATTTTACCGTTCTAATCAGTTTTTTGAGAAGCATATATAAAGCCTTTAGTTATTTTAAGATTGCTTGCTGTGAAATACCGTGGTATGTTCGGTATTTTTTATCGAGTTTGGTTTTGTAATGTCTTAAAATTATATTCTTTCGTGACAGATATTACTTGAAAATACACCAGACACTGTGGTTTAACTTTGTTGTGGGCAAGGAAATACGTTTCCTCCCACCTTTCCTCGGCCACCTTTTTTCACACTGATTGTATGATGAATTGTTATATTTGGCTAATTTTATTACTTGTAGCGTGAGCAGGCCATGTGCTATTGTCGAAGAACAACCAAGTCCGCCGAAGTTGGGACCCGGACTCAGCTAAAAAAAACTGGATCGCGCGGCCCTAAGTCAGCTCCGCGGTTCGTCACTGCTGTCAACATAGCCAAGAATAGAAAATAGAGGGTGTTTTTACTAAAATAAATGCACAAAAGGTCTCTCCAAATGAGGAGTTACTTGACGCGAGCTTAAAGTTCGAAGTTTAGATAAAATGCGCGACACATTTTATCGGCTTGGTCCTGTCTGCACAAGACAATTCATTTTCCTGGTACCGATCACAGGTCGTCATTCCCATATTGGCGCCGTCTTGATTTTAACAAACGTTAATCCCGACATCGGGATTAGGAAAAGGGCTATTCCCAGTTGAAATAGTTTAAAAATAACTCGAAAGTTTTCTGCCAATAAATACAAATATCTGTCAATGGATTTTAGAGAACGCTAAAATTGTTCTGGGGGCCGCACGGAATGTGCCCGGGGGCCGCAGTTTGGACCACCCTGTTCTACTACTATGTAACTTCCTCAAAGTCAAAACTGCATTAGCATTCCAGCACTGCTGTAAATAAATTTATGAATGTTCAATTGTATCCTAAAGTTGTCACGATTTGAGTCCTCTTCTAACTCGTTTTTCATTTTTTTTATGTGTAATGATTTGATTCAGTATTATATCTATTATAATTACAAATAACCCTAGTAAGACACATCAGAGTAAAAATGACTGTAAAAATACATGTTATTTATTGTGGTGCATGAGGGTATGAATCCAGATACAGTAGTCTCAAAATTCAAATAGAACAAGAATTTGGGACTGATGTTGAAATTTCTGGAGAATCTGCTCCAGGAATTTCAGGATGTTTTGAAGTCAACGTCAATGATAAAGTAATCCACTCGAAAAAGCATGGTGATGGATATATTGATAATGACACCAAGCTCAACAAAATTCTTGATGCGATTGATTGCGAGAGGAAGAAATAAATTTTGACTTATCGTTTATTCCCGGAACTAGGATTTGATGAACTTCATATACAACATCTGATGCAATTATTAATATTTAAACATAATGATTTGATGATGATTATGATGATTGACAGGATTCTTCAAAGCTTTTGATATTTCTATTTTTTTTTTCCATTCTATTGTGTCTTGAGCTGCATTTATTTAAATTATCAGTTACTCAAAAACAAGTGACAATTAGAAACAAATTATAGTTCATAACTATTATTTAAGTTTGCGGATTATTTTTAATTGTTATTATCCCAATGAGGGTTGGTAAAGTTGAAGAGATGTACAAATCTGACTAATGCAATTCATATACCCGCTACAAGTTTCGAATTCGATCTTTATTTACTATATTGAAAATTTATTTTTGGAATATACTGATAATTGTTATCCACACCAATCAATGTCTTCTTCTCAAATTTCTACTTGTTTCACAATTCCACAGGTTATGTGTAACATATTCCTGGCAATGCATTTTTGTGGCAGACTTGGCTTTACTGATTTTATATACTGTGTATCTAGATCAAGACTATGTAATATGATATTGAATCTGATTCTTACTTTCTTCATGACAGTTACCATGGAAACTTGTCTGACATGCAGTGGTAGCTCGAACTTAATGAAATTTTGAATCAGAATCGTGTTTATTTGCTTATGTCTGTGATATATTTTTAATTATACACTATTGGCTGAACTTCGTTTGCTTCTGCGTAATAGGGGGGATGTCAGTTTATATTGCCTGAACAGATTTCCTTATTAAATGTATATGGTTGCTTGGCTGACATATTTTTGCACGAGTGGAATCTTACATCTTGTGTAGAATGCAGTCTAGTGATTATCATGGGTGTAAAATATTCTGACCTATTCATATAGATTTGGTATTCTCAAATCCACAAGTATACATTATCGGAGGTTTTGGACATATGGAGCTTTGCTCCAATCCACCAGATCAGTGTTAGTGCCTAAAATTGTTCCGTACACTGCTGTGTATGTGTATTGTGCGTCCATAAAAGTTTATAGTACTGCAGTCTTGACACATAATGCAGCGAAAACTCATGATATATATTTGGAAAGTTTTATATATCATGCATTTTCTATTAACTGCATCATAAAGCATAGTTGTTCTCAGACATAGTTTAGCTGATATATGTTTTCACTATCAAGCGCAATATTGTATATTCAATCAGTCATATCGGATATGAATATGATCTCGCATGTGTCATATCCTGGTTCATAAAGAGCTCTTATCACCGAGTGAGCATCCGGAAAATCTAACGTACTGCACTTTTGAGTTTAGCCGCTATCGCATGATACTTCGAAGCATAAAAAGATATAATATTAAGTTATTCATGAGTCTTGCTGCACAGTGCACACTAATACAAATATATTTCTGTAACGTTTCGTCTGGCCAAGGTCAAACATACATAGTTCAACTATAACAAGAAAGGCAATTGCAAGTTTTATATAAGTTTATTTCGACTCCATAATCAGCATAACTGGCAATGAAATGGTGGATAAAAACGTACAGAATATAAAATGTAAGTATTGCCAAGAAGAAGTGGTACGTGTTCACTTACCTAAACTTATTTCACAGGCGCACACACACAACCACAGAGAAATTATTAAGTGAAAAAAACGCGATAAACTCATGATAACGAGATAGCGATCGGAGACCGCCGACTTATCGATCTAGCGGCATGTATCCTTCGATCTGACTCAATAGCGACACCGCGTGTCCCATCACTAATTAATTACCGTAATAACTCGCTAATTATACGACATAATTTATCCAAAATCAATAGGCTTCTGATCGGAGATTAGATGACTGCACATGCAATTGTGGATTCAACCTCGCTTTCGTGAAATATCGACAGACAAACAAACAAACAGACAAGTACCTATCAACATACTTACCGATCGAGGTCGATAAATTATAAGTGGTCCCGAATGAGACGGGGACTTTTCAATAGTAATGCAAAATTGTACTAAACTTTACTAGTTTTTAATTTAATTAAAAAAAATTTTATGAGACGGATTGAAACGTGCGTACTAATTAAATATGATGTAAGGAGCGATTTCATGAGAGAATCAATGAGTCTTTTTAAAAAAATGAATATACAGTCCACGAAAAAGTAAAACATGAATTTAGGTAACGGAAGAACTAATAATATATGTATATGGGCTATTCCAAGTGACACTACAGGACAATTCCAGAAATTTTGCATATTTTTGGATGCAATATATTTTCACATTTTCAGCTACATGTTTCGTTTCATTGTCCAATCAGTTGCTTTATTGAATATGTAAAAAATTGCACAAAAGTTACACCCAAGACTTACTTGGTATATAAAAAAAAAAATATAGTAAAATATAGCGTGACACCACAGGACGGCAAAACCACCATGCACTAACAGTACGTTGTGTTGTGCTGTAAATTTTTGCGATGGTACAGTAGGAGCCCATAATATTTTCTGGTGCAGTAGCTGAACTAACCCTCTATGTGTTGCTCAAGTTACTTAATGTAACACTGTAAATTCATGCCAATAATGTGCATATTGTATGTAACACTACAGGACATTTTCCACTTCGGAATAGCAGCCTCTATCATCTCTTAAAATTCTGGTAATAAATCGTAAAATGGGTGAAGAAATGTCCTACAGCACTGCAAACATTTAAACTTTATTAACTTAAATCCAGTGCGTCAATTCCATATGAAATAACTGTACCACACAATCAAACACTTTGTGTCAGGAATCATCACAAAATATGTCAAATATACCAAAATTTATACATTTCAGGCCCTTTTTTATAAACCATCAAAAACCTGGGTGAAATTTTAAATTGTTCGATGAAATGAATGCAGTCCAATAAAATTTCAATGTCTTTTGATATCGAAAATAAAAAAAAATTACTTTCACTACACTTTTTAAAAAATTGATGGAATTCAACTTTTGCTTGGAATGGCCCATATATAGTATAGATATACGATGAAGCCCAGAGAACACTATAACTTACTGATACTGATATAATTACTGCAACGAAGAGCAAACGACTAAATGTTGATATATGGGAGACACCGAGTCGATATCTAACCGTTAGTGTTTATAATCAGAACCCGAGGAGTGGCACTCATGCGACTACCACCGCAGCTGCCAACTCCAAGCTTTTGTGTTTGGTGACCTGTCGGGCCCTCAAAACTCGTTATTATATGTTACCCGGCTTGGGGTGAGCAAAATTTATCGCAAATGGTTTCCAACCGACAGAAACGAATCTACCTACAATAGGTTAAAAAATAGGTTGAAACAAGAAAAATTTAAGCAAAACTCCCCTTATCGATACTTATAGTCATTTAAATCCGGCAACTGGATTCTGTACAGCACTAACCCGGAGTAAATGTTTATTATGTATTTAAGATTTATTTAAATCATAAAATTCAGATTTTTAGTCGTAAGTATTGAAAATTCTTCAAGAAACCTTGCCAAGTATTATCCAAACAGGAAAAAATAAGTATTCCCAAACCATGAATGTTACATGACTGCTCAAACTTTAGTATATAATTTACAATTTCCTCCAAACGCGATTCTTCGCTTGCTTAGAATTTGAACAAATTGGGCATTTTAAAGCCACTGCTACCATTGCGAATAAAATTTATCACACTACTCTTGCAGCGAGACAATAACTTTCGCATACTGCGGAAGTTATTGTAGGATCCTTTGTCAGTTTAGACACGCGATATTCGCCAACAATGCTTAATTCTCGTTTGCTCTTTCTCGAATTACAAACGGGAAATGCGTGTTACAAACTTGCAAGTCGTCAAATCGAAATTTCATACCCATTCTTTCTTCTATTGACTACTTTCGCTAAACTATTGTGGAATTTTAGTAAAACTGACATTCCTCGACAGTGTATTGGTATAAATGTGCATGGAATCAAAATATTCAAATATTTGGAACATCTCTTGACAAGAAGACGACAGAGCATAATGAAGAAGTTGATTTTGGTAATGTTTGTGCTTACGACGATTATAGTGACTGAATGTGCAAAACCAAAGCGACCGAAAAATAAATTCTGCCGTAAGTACAGTACTATTTCTATCTGTGTTTATTCAGTGATCTAAGTATATGTAAAAACCATTGCGATAGGGTTCAATCTTGAATTCAGAAAATTCATTTGTACCTTTGAAATATTGAATTTAAATAATATCTCTAAAACGTATGAAGCAAACTCTCGTCAGCAACAATGTGCTTTAATTCTTTTTCCCACCTCATCGTTCCGAACAACCTTCCATCCACGAATTCCCTTAGTGATTACTTGGATTTAATCTTCTAATCCTTCATTGTGGTTGTGCGGTTACAGTATTTGACTTTTATGATCTGATGTAAATGTGATCATATCTATTTCGCTAATTAGTTTTTGTATTCCCAGCCATGATGTCTTCAATGCCTCCAAACTATTGCCCACCAAAGCTGCGACCGAAGAAATGTGTTGGAAAAAACAAGAACCCCTGCAAAAGCAGCAAGTGCTCAAAACGTGGAGCAAGATGTGTCCCAAATTATTGTGGATCTTGCCACGCTTGCTGGTATACTAACCCTTACATGGTGGCTAAGGGTTGTTAATCAATTATGAGAATCAATAGGTTAATCAAAAAAAGAAATTGTAAATTTATATTGACCTATTATTACATAATATAGTTGACACTCAGATATTACTAAAATTAAATAAAACTGTTTGATGAAATATAACTGTCTGTACTGGGAAGTGTTTGATGGGGATCAGCTGAAAGATAGCATTATATATGAATGAAGCATCCTTTTAATCACAATATTTCGCTCATGCTACCAATATCTATACTTGCTTCAAGTTTGATTATCGTCAACACTGCTACATTTTTAGAAAACTCTTAATATTTCAAATATTGCTGTTCTAACGAAGAAATTTTTTAAAAAGTAACTTATAATCAAATAAAATTTTGTAAATTTTCTGAATACTCACAAGCTTAGGTTAATAGTTTGTTAAAGCGATTGATTGATTAGCCATTCTATTTTCATTTATGTTCAAGTATGGCTTGGATACCCTTGATAAATCACTTAACTTTGATAATTCAAGCCACATCGACCGAACGTCTTTGAAGTGGCTTATACACATATCCCCATTCTTCTGAAATCGAGCATTTTTCTGCCGGGTCGTGTATTTCTGTTAACGGTAGCAATTTTCATAATATGTTTCTAAAGCAGTATTTCTTTTTTACACCTACGTTCTCTAGAAAACTTGATAGATGACAACGTTCCTTTCGTTACATGAAAATGACGGCAATACCCCATTTCAGAGTGACTTGTTCCCTGCTAAAATTATCAAGAAAAGCAACATGAATAGATCAACTCCTATATGGCGGTGGTCTCATGAAAAAGTTGAGACTCTGAAACGTGGCAGGATGTGGAGAATTTAAGTATGTTCCCAGTATTTATCAACAATACATTGATATATCTGCAGCTTAGTAAAACAAGTACTAACGTAGACACAATCACGCTGTTATCATGGCGAGAAGCGTCCATGCGCACAAGAATAGAATCCTTTCCGAAACACAGTTGTGCAACTGACAAAAAGTATCTTCATATAAATGCTAACTACAATTGCTCATTTTGTCGATAACGCCACCATGCTGCAATTTTCAAACTTTGGACGGCACGGGTCTAAAGATTATTTCATATTAGGGAATTGCATTAGCTTACAGTAACTCTTTCAACCTACCTGGCCGCACACAAGGTATTTTTTTTTATCTTTTAACTGCATCTTAATCCCTTTCAGCTTAAAGTTACTTTGCACTAGTTATATATACTCTATATAGACCAAATTTCCCAAACTTTTTTTGGTAGCGCCCCTTGGGTAACCTTTCGACAAAGAAGTCAAAATAACTTTATTCTGCATTTATCATTAGTAAAATGAGGGGGTTGAGCCTGGTGAAAAGCCACCAGCTTATTAATATCTGAATGACACATTCATTGATAATATTTAACACATTTTCACTACTTGCTCTGATTATTGTCAACAGACCTAAAAGGACTCCTAGAGAACTGTCAATATTTTGAATAATGCTGTTCTAAACAAAAACATTGTTTCAAAAATTAAATTATAATAATTTTTCATATCATCCAAGCTTAGGTTAATAGTTAGTGAGAACGGTTGATTGGTTATCTATTCTATTTTTACTTGACCGTTTGATGGTTTGAATACTCCCGACGAATGACCTATTTTTAGTAGTTATTCAGAATGAATAGTAGTTATCGTAGATAAAACCGTCCTTTGCCCATGTCAAGGTCACGCACCAATTGTATGTAGACTGTACCTCGTAGACTCTGTGAGCTCTTGGTCACAGTTCGTAGAAGAGTGTTGATGCAAGACGGACATATTAGAAAATAGCATATACGTATAAATTAATCGATACAATTATCCATCACACCTTTTTTCTCAACATATTACAAATGATGAATTAGAGTGCCAATAACTTCCACACTGTCGATGTTAATGATCGAACACTGTACACAATTTAACAAATTCAATACATAGAACTTTGAGTTTTAAACTTTTGCCATAATCAGATTTGTCTACTTAGAGCTTAGGTAGGGTTTCACTTTGAAATATTATATGTTATTCATTGTAAGAATAAGTAATACTTTAGGTGGATTTAGAATAGACGATTGTTTCAAATGGTCTATTATGAAATTGATGACTTCGGAACGTGTTTTTGTTTCAATTTTAACATTTTAGGCATGCATTTCAAATTTTAACTTCAGATATGTTTAAGACCTCACCCTTCATGAGAACATTGTGTGAACTGAGTCAATAAGTCAGTTATGAAACCCCAAAATAAAACTACAATCCAGAAAGTAGACCTAGTCATCTGAAGAATTTCTTCGGGATACAGCGCGCTTGTATTTTGCAATTAAATTTTCTGGCGAAAAGTAGAGGAAAAATGATATTTCAATTATGAAGCGTTTGATTAAATTCCGTTAAATTGTTTTCTGTTCGAGGCTACTTATTTGTTGATACGTTGATAATCTATACTAATATACTGTCAATTAAGAGAATGAAAACACTGTTGCAATGTCGTTAATATCTTTGATTGGTGGAAGAAGTGCCACCATCATTTGCAACATTGCTTCAAAATCCGGCCTATTTCTATTTATTTGTTACATATCGGCAGTGAAATGACCAAAACTGGCAGTTAATTTCGCCATATGACCTTTTGCCATTCTTTCACTTTTTATTCGTTCGAATAATTAGATCAATAATTACAAGTTTGTAATTACAAATGAAAATATATTGACAATTTGGGTTGCGATAATGACATATATACGTCATTTTAATTACTATTCTCTACGAAACCATAATTTTACACAATGATTCTCGAAAGGTTTCAAGATATTCCATAGATAAATATACTGAAAATGGTAAATTAATCTGGAACAATTAATTTTCAATTGGGTAAGTGTTCTATGAAATCCAAACCTATTTCAACAAACAGTATCGTTAATTTGTTTACCTTATGTTAGACCAGTGGTTCTCAATCTGTGGTACGCGGAAGATGATCAAGTCGTATGCGAGCAGCAACAATTAACTTTAACAATTAATTTATTGCAACAATTAACTTTTGAGTTGGCCAAAATATGCCGACAACGCTTTATCCTCCATACTGTATGTATTCGCTGAACGACCTTTATGAATGTTTCCCCGGGCATCAATTTCCTTGTTTACTTCCGTATCCAGCAACAATCAGTAAACATTGCTTCGTTTTCGTAGTTTTGCGTGTTATTTGTCAGTTTTCAGATGCGTTTAAAAAAAAAATATGAATTAAAAAAATTCAAATTTAAAATTGTTCGCAATAGGAAAGTATAGGAAGAATTTCTCTTGGGTCAAGGGTCGGAGAAACGTCTTATGGGCCAGTCCAGTCTTTAGAGATCGACCCCGCCTGCTATGATCCACGAACGAATCGAGATAGGCATGTTTTCGTCCGCCCTGCGAATTAGGTCACTAAGGAAAGGATGTAGTGCCACATTATAAAATACTCCCATAGCGCGTGTCTTGTGCCATTGTTCCCCGCGCCAAAAAGGGGGCTTTTTCAGTGGTACGCGGCCAGAGTAAAAACAGTAAAGTGGCACGCGGTTAGTAAAAGGTTGAGAACCACTGTGTTAGACAATATAATATATAAAATTGTATATTGCTATGTTAATAATCAGCCATTATATTTAATAGGGATGCTTGATCAAACGTATCGACAGCAAATATTAAAATTATTGATATTCGAGAACAAGAAACTTACTTATGTTGCTAAAGGAGTGGACAGAGCAAGGATTTCTTTATGCATAGCCCTGAAAACCTAACCTGTTTTCTATGAAGAAACGCGAATATTATGCACTGATGAGATCATTCAAATATCGATTGGAACAATATACCAAACTCTATGCCTAACTGTTTGATTTTTTCAAAGCTTGAACACTTTATCAGGCTCAAGTTCGTATAACATAACATCATATTAAAATACCTAGCCGACAGGAATAACTTGAACTCGTAAATCGCGCGAAACATAATTTTTAATGCGGATAATCACAGATTACCTCAAACTGTGAATACGTGATTTCTTTTCAATTTTTTACAATGCGAAATACGTGTTTGCGTATCTAATAATAGATATAAATACCTAATTGCCACTTCAAATTCCGGAAAAATCTGATTTGTAGCGAAACGAGGTATCCAATTTTGTAAAGAATATGCTTAATTGCGTATGCAATAAAACAGAGAAATAAATTGGGAAATGTCATAAACGATGTACGAAAAGACGATAAGGAGTGTCTGGCGTATATGTTTGGACGCAGATTAAGATTGAGTTGTTATGTATACTTTTAATTCAGGCACATCTATATATATATTATTTAGTGTGTAGGTAAATGTAAATCCTAATTACCTGCCGTTTCTGTTATCTACTGCGTTTTCAAATATGAAGTATCTGTTTAAAGTGGGACACTAACCCAGAAGAACTACGTTAAGCGTGGCTGGCATTGGTCCAAGTTTAATAACAAAAGGACAATATTAGCTCAAATTACATTAATGATAATCAATAACTGAGAAAGATTATAAATAATTAGTCAATTATTATTAGAAACAGGTTATATATAATTAGATTCTTAAAAAAATTATTTAGTAAGAAAAGACAATATTAGCCCAAAGTACATTCATAGTAACCAGTAACTGACAAAAATTATAAATGATTAGTCAATTAATAGTAGAACAGTCTATATATTATTATATTCTATGAAATATCCTAGATATATCCTTGTTAACATATGATTGGAAAGGAAATAAAGAAATCTGATATCAAACTGCTTCAATTAAATACTGAATTCTATTAAACACACTAAAAAAGAAATACCAACGTCGACAATAACTTAAGCTGCCTGATTAGATTTTTCACGAGTAACGATTAAGTTGAAGTCAATTCTTAATCTGTTTCTTTTAAGTCCGGTATGTCATTACGATGCGGATTAGACGTAGGAGGGTGATCACCGCAAAAGTCTATTTTACTTGCATTTCACTGCAATTTGATTGTACAAATTTTCAAATTGTCCTCATTTTGAATCATAGAACAAATAATAAACTACAATTTGATGCGTTTAAGTTAAGTACTAGACTGACATAATCTTATATAAACCAGCAAACGAATTACGTTCATGACAAGATATACCAAATTTTTTTTTGATATTTTTGCAAAGTGTTTAATTCTGCGGTTATATAAAACCAGATCTAATCAGACGATTTCGCCATACCAGCATCGTCAGTTTCCAGTTACAGTAGTTGAAAGAACTAATAGCTTAGTACGATACGTATTGACTATACCGAAAGGAAAAATGGATAAACTTTTTGCATTTTGCGTTTTGTTGATTGGATTTAACATAGAAGATACCACGGGAGCATCAATTTCGAGTAAGTAAAAATTGAATTTGAAATTTTTTAAGCTATATTTTAAACGGTTCTGGTCCTTAGAATGGAAGACCAATGCGACATTTGAAATACAGTACGCTACGTAGCTTTTATTACACTTTGTGGATTCCATAAATGTAAACGATCTCAGATTCTGTTCTTATTCATCCCAGCATTCATAGAATGTAACAAATTAGTTGAGCAAATAGGTATAGGATTCCACCATGCAATGTATTTACGACGTAGTCAAGGAAATAATTCTAAATAAACAACAATGATGATGTCATAGTATAAAAGTTAACAGCATTATATTGTTCAATAACGTGAGCGAATATGCTCACATGATCCTTGAAGCTTGATTTTGACCAATAAAATTTTTTGTAGTTTTCTATGTTTCTCCCCAAATCGTATTGAGAAATATCTCATAGAAAATTGGAAAAAAAAATTTAATGAAATAAAAAAAATAAAAATTATTTACTCGTATAGTTCCATGTGAGCCGCCAATCATCGAAAACGGCATTGTGAAGACCGCAGTACCAGAGTCCGGAGTTTATAATGTTGGTAAAAGAATACGTATTAGATGTGACAGTGGATTTGATATGCATGGTAGCATTCCAACATGCCAAGCTGATGGTACATGGAAGATACTTCCAACCTGTGTTGAACGTAAGTCATAATGATTTTGTAACAAGCAGAATTTGTAGCTCAAATTTTATAAACTTCACAGAGATATATTGAGAGAGAAATCTGCAATATTTATAATGCAGTGATATGATAATGCAATAATGTAGTGATATCAATAAAATTACTGTATTCGTCTAGAATTAAGATGGTGGATGACGCACCCTTAAGACGAGTTGGTGCTTCTAGCACTCACTTAAAAGTACAAGATACTCACCTATGAGCAAAATCGTTTATTAATGGAAGATATGATTATTTTGTATATTGTTATGGACTTGAAAATATGCCTTTGTCTTGTAAAAAGCCATTTCCTTCTTTTCCATTTATTTAAAATTCAATATGATTATTTCCAAATTAACATTTATTGACTGTTTTAGGGGGTTCCACTAAAATAGTTGAGAGAAGTAATTCAAAGACGTGTCAGAATCCATTTGACTCCAAGAATGGGGCTTCTCCTTCGCCGAAAAAGGATTATTACAATCCCGGCGACGTTGTTACTCTGACATGTGACGATGGATTCGTACCATCAATAAACAACTTCACATACACGTGTGATAAACATGGACAATTTCCCGGAGATATTGCAACATGTATTCGTAAGTAATTTAAAACGAGTAGAAAAACTCAATTTTAACATTTATCTTCATTTCTTTTATTAAAGTAAACTTTTAAATCAGTAATAATCACCTGCTAATCATACAATTAGTATAAATTATTCCCTAATTATTCTTGTGGAATTTTGTAATCTTGGGGAGGCAATGTAAAGACTTCTTAAAATTACAAAATGGCGTAATTTTCCACCTGGACGAAATGCCAGTTAAATTTATTTAAACCTTCAGCGTTTTTATATCCAGCATATATAAATCCCATATATGATAAGAATGTTAAATGAATAACGTTGCCCGGTAAAATGTAAGATGGCATCGAACGCATTGCATACGTGCATATTGTTAATCATTTCATTATAATATTCGATTAAACTATTACACAATTTATATATACAATTTCAATCTTATTAATCTCAAGCAAATTTACTAAACTTACTTCTTCAAAAACAGAAAATGTTGTCTTAGTTCGTCTGAATGTATTTAAGTTTGAAATATCAATATCATTTGGTTTTGATGTAGATTATCAAAATATCGTTTTTTTTTTCGGTTACTCATTTGTTTCATTTGTTTTGTAGCGCTATCGTGTGGTCTCGCAAGCCTACCAGATCATTTGGTTATTGAGAATTACAAGCCAAAGTATATGTATAAAGAGGTAGTAAAATATTCATGCGAGTGGGGATACAAACTCCAATCTTCGTCAACTTCATCGAGATGCGAAAAAAATGGACGGATTTCTCCCAAACTTCCAAAATGTAACAGTAAGTTAACCGCAATGAAATTACACCATTTTACACTTTTATTCATTTTGAACTTCAACGAATGATTATATCATTAAAGAGTAAAGAGTTTTTTCCAAGAGAATCGAATATTTAATGAACTCAGTCACGGTAGAGAATCTGTTATCATCTAATTGTTCATTTAACAATACCCTTTCATCATACCACAAAATAATATGTGGAGAATGATTCATATTGAAATCCTCAAATGCAGTTAAACATATTTACGAAACTTTGTAACACTTCCCAGTTGCTAATCTTTTACCGGCAACGATATCAACATCAATATCTAGGTAGCCGAACACTTACCGATAAAATATACTTCTAGAAATATACTGTAAGAAGCCAAAAGTAGGCGAAAGATTAAAGTTCTACCCTGTGGCTGATGTATACGAGCTTGCTGAGTTTGTTGCTTTTAAATGCGGGATTGGATATTTTATGAAAGATGATGTCGTTGTACTGAAATGCACCGAATCGGGAAAATTTTCTGGGCCATTTCCAACCTGTTCAGGATCAGGTAAATATTGTTAATAACTCAATTAATAAATGAATTCATGTCTAAATGCTTTTCTTAGTTTCTTATATAAGTTTCACTCTTTCGCTTCGACATATAATTAGGAACACTACCAGGCGGAGTAACGTGCGACTTTCCGAAAGCTCCGAAAAATGGAAGAATAGTAGAAAATGCCGGTATATATCACGAGGGGCAAACTATACATTATGAATGTAAGGATGGATTTGAGATTGAAGGAGCAAAGGGCTCTAAGTGTCAACCGGATGGGACGTTTTTGCCGAAAGTACCTGAATGTAAAGGTTGGTAAAATATTCACAATATCACTTATGAAGCGGGAACAATTGAACACACGATGATTTGTTTGGTGACGCAAAAAAAAGCATATCAAATAAAGTCAGAATTGTGTAATTCTGATGTACTGCTGAGTGTGCATTTTAGTGGGCATTGGCTAGGATGAAGTTGCTGCACAAGATCCAATTTTTGCACAATTACTTGACTTCTACATTTGATATAGTCACGGATTTGGAACATATCGTATGCTTAGAAAGCTTTAAAATATGTCTATAAATCAATAAAATATATATATATTTTTGCATGTAAAACAATCATAGAACAGACGTACTTAAATATCTGTTGAATCATCCACTTATGAAGCCAATAATTACATGACTAATTTATTGTAATAAAATGAAATTATCAATACTGATTCAATTAATTACCATTTTGCTTACAAAAGTTTGTAGAAATACCTGTATATTTATTGATTTCGAAATAGGTCAATTATTTTCTTTTGTGCTTAGGTATCAAATGCTCTCCGCCTCCAGATGTTATGAATGGCTATTACAAAATGGAAGATTCTGAACATAAATATCAATCTGAAGTTGAATATTTGTGTAATGACGGATATCAGGTCGACGGGAATAAGTTTCTTACATGTGGAAAAAGCGGAGAATACACCCCATCGCCCCCTCGCTGTGAAAGTATGATTTGACTGTTTTATTTTTCATTTGTTTAGAGAATATTCAATGCATAGTCTCTGCTGATTGAAGTGGTGCTACTAACTTAGTAGTGAAGCGGGAAAATTTTCACGCTTGTCTTTTTTTGTCAATAAACACTATCAGTTAGTTGAAATTGACTTGAATCATTCACAATTCTACGAAATTAAAACTAGAACTTTTTCTAAAATTAAAAAATTTAGTCTGAAAAGAGTGAGCTCATTACAAAGTTTAAAACGCCACCGACAATTATCTTAATAGTTATGTATATGAACTTTTTGTCGCATAGGAGTACTCTTCATAATTATTATTCATTGACGAATCAATTTTTACAATAATTTCTGAAAAACCACATTTTGAATATTTGGAACAAGTTTAGACTTGTATTCTGGTTATAATATAACACTATTTTTTATTCCATGCAGAAATAACTTCATGCTATCCCCCAATAATTCCTCGTAACGGCAAGATAGTTCCAGATACGTCCGAAAATCCTATCGGGAAGGAAATTATTTATCTATGTGAGGCCGGTTATGTGTTGGCTGGGGATGCGGAGGCAATTTGTTTAAAGAATGGACAATTTTATCCTGATGGACAAAAATGTGAAGGTAATCGAAAAAAATCCTTTACATAATATTTTGATTAGAAAATTGGGCAATTACATAGAATACTTACAACGAAGCAAATGTGTTTCAGAAGTGGAATAGGCTTTGGCTATGTTGATCTTATCTGATTTGAAATTACCTCATTCCAGTGCATTCCTGTGAACGACCTCACATGTGGATGAAACAGTTTTATATATTTTTTTTTTATCTCGCTGGCTGGAGAGGGGGGTGCAGAAATTACCTATTAAAGATAGAGCATTCAAATACAAATTGAAATTGTCTATTTCAGTCATGTGCAATATAACGAGTCAATCACGGTTCATTACAAGCCTTATACACAAGCTTTCAAAGCGGTGTAAGTGAGGCTTACAAAATTAGACTGTACATTGTAATGCAATAATGTGGGGAGTGCTTCCTTTGCAAGGAAGGGAAATGGTTATTTATTACATGCCAAATTTGCTTTGATGTAAGATTCACTTGAGTATCTATGTCTTTGTTACCTTGGAAAAACAACCTGCCTCAATCATACAATAATGAATAGTTATGAGTTATATAAGTATTCAAAAACGAAACCTTCTTAAAAATGATAGTTTTAAGTGACACTTGACATTTGGGAATATTGTATTTGTCGCAAAACGGAAGTATTTCTGACGCAAGACTGATAGTTTAATGAAATTAATATCAACATGTGACATCAAAATTATTTTTAAATTGTTTCCTGCCGTGTAAAGGCACTGTATTTTCTCTGAAAACTTATTGTTACATTAATTTTTCAAATTTGTAATTACAATCAATGAGATTATTAGCAAACATTCGTATTTAATTACATTATAATTTGGAATAATGAAGTTTCATTCCTGATTACCATTCATTTAGAATATGAGGTTGGATAGAACAAATCAAAATGTCATGTACATTTAACAAATATTTTGAAATTAATATTGCTGATCAAAGCGGCTTCATGTAGTGATGCAGAACAAAATATGTTTGAAACTCGACCATTTTGTTTCGATATTTATAATATTTATTTTCATTATATTAGAAAATAGGAATAAAAAATGGAGGAAAACACAGATTTAATATATTGTAAGCTCTGCTATTTGTACATTCTAATAAATGTAATTTTTTCAACTAATCTTGAATTCGCAGAAGTTAATGGTTGCAAAGGAACCAATATTGAACACAGTTATTGGGAATTTGAGCAAAGATGCAGCAAATTACTTAATTTTACATCCGGTAGAATTGTTGAAACAATCTTAGCAGAATTCATACAAAAAATCTTTCTTTAACTGACGTATATAGTGCTTTCGCTGGAATTAAACATGGGCGCATGAGCCAACGGACTTTCCTTACTAATGTCATGTTTGTTGAGTCTTAGACTTTTTGAAAATAATCTTGGTTGACTACGAATTGATGTGGTTGATATTTTTTTTATATATATTTTCGACCTCTAAATCATTTTATTATATTTCTAGAAGAAAGTGTGTGTACTGATCCAATAATTGAGAACGGTTCTACGTTCCGTGGTAGAACAGTTGGAGATGTTGGAAAGATCATGTATGCTTGTGATAAAGGATTCGAGTTGGCCGGGCCAAAAACATCAACTTGCGTAAACGGAAAATATGAGCCAAGTCCACCCTTGTGCATCCCCAGTATGTTCATATTTTATAAAGGAGTTGATATATATATAATGATATAAAATATAAAGTAATGACGAAATTGAAAAGTTGGCATATTTTGATTGATACGAAATCGTTCACTATAACCCGATGAGCCATCCTGATAAAATAAATCGGCGCTCCCGTAGTATGTGAACCAAGATGGCGGACACCGGAACGTAGTACGTGTACCAGGTTAGAGGCAGGACATAATTTTATTCCAATTTTCTCTATTTTAGTTCTATTGCGAATTCGGGGACTAGCCAAGTAACTCCCGTGGTATTTATTCTGAAATTACGGCCTAACCCTAACCTGGTACACATACTACGTTCCGGTGTCCGCCATCTTGGTTCACATACTACATGTTTATTTACATTCATGTTTATTGACATTGTACTTCTTATTAGTCAAAAATGTCATTTAGATACATCTTTATTTTTCTGTCTCTCATTGAAACACCATTTTGTGTATCTTTGTTTTAAATTCAACAAGATTCGTAGCGCGATGTTAATTTGAAAAACGTTTCCTTGCTTTAATTTAGTTCGCAACATAAGGAGAAAAGGCCATATTCAACTTATTGATATACATATTTGTTTTTGCAGTAATATGTATTATTCCATCACCGCTACCAGAGCACGTAGAACTTATAGCGGAAAAACCAGTTCTATTTGTTGGAGAGAGAATTCTATTTTTATGTCCGAAAGGTTACACGTTAAAGGGAAAACCAAGAGCAACATGTGAAGAAAACGGACTTTTTTCATCACTACCCGATAAATGTGAAGGTGAATTTGATATCTTTGCGAATGCGCTTCTTAGTCTTTGTGTAACATCCGAAAAAAGCATGTACATTTTTTTTTCATTTCGGCAAAATTGCGGATGAAAATACCAATTATGTTTTGATATATATATATATTATATCCCAGCACCGACTGGCCTGATTTTATGTTGATATATTTAGAATCTAATGTACGTAACCACTTTTATCAACTATATCAACAGATAGCATTGTTCTTGTACCCCGTGGTTGATACACAGGCTTGTCCATGGGACATATTTTTTTGTCCCATTCCCATCTCATAGCAATTATGCCCCATCTCATCCAATGGGATTTCCATTGGAAAGAAATTCAATAAAAATTGTTAAATTTAGGTTTAGCGTCTATTAAATAGGACTACATGTACGAATACCCATGCAAAACAACATAATTTACGGACATTGTAAACTTTATATTCATAACTATTATACATGTGTCCTTCGGCCCCTTCACGAAGTATATTGTATAATATTAATGCTGAATATATTTTGCTCTTTATAACTAACTAGAGATCTATGCTCAAATATATGGAAACGAAATCCATAACAAATTGTTTCACCATCATTTTCCCGAAAATCATACGGTTTTAGCGTCCCACGTGTTCTATGGGCAATACAGATGTGGGCTATCTCATCCCATGGGACGTTTCCCATGGACAAGCCTTCTAATACAAAAAAATTTAAGATGTACACGAGTAGGCATCACAATAGCTTACTTTTAATTTACAAGCTGTTCGCACTGCTTAGATACGGAGCAGCCACCCCGACTCTGCCACGGCCTTTCAAATAAATTAGAGTAATGAATACCGGAGTGTACCTTAATAAAAATGGCCGTAATTCTTCTCTTCAAGACCCATTGTATTGAAAAATTAACTATTATCGTTATTGTTCTAGCTGATAAACCTTCATGCAAAGAACGATGCATCTTCGAGAAAGGAGCTGAATGCCAATGCGATTATTATTGTTCGTTTTATGGAAATTGTTGCGAAGATCATAAACAACATTGCGGTATGTATTACAACGACTAAGTTCAATTTCGAACTAAGTAGTCAACACTGAAACTAATTTATTACCAGATGAACATGACACGGAATAAAATTGAGTTATAAATTGAGTTATTGTGATTTACTTTTATTGTAAGGCTACACTGTACCGTATTTTATGGACCAAAAATCGCGCTTTGGATCTTTTTTTCTCAAAAATCAATCGTTAACCTTATAAGTCGGTGCGCCTAATGTATGGATCAAGTTCTGTTTCATGCTTTATCGACTACATGCACTAGTACCAGTACGTCGTATATACAGGTGCGTGTTATGTATGAACAAACCCCAATCTAACAGTTCATTGACGGTCCAGAAAATTCAGAAGACAGAAGGAAGATTTTCGTTTTGTGCAACATAGGTTTAGAATTTTTCAGTTTCAACCTTTATATATTGACCATGTCCATATCCAAGTATTTATATTAAGTCTAAACAAATAACATAAATGTGAGTGGAAACGTTTCATGGATTTTATATCCTCTGTAAAGCGATATATCCATTGCTAGCATATGGTGGTTGGGGCAATGTTAACCAAACAAAATAAAAAATTGAGACGAAATACCCTTTGTATATTTCAAGTTTATTGATGTTATTGTCACCACTATTAAGGAGAATCGAAATTTCGAAGAATTTTAAAATTTCCTACTGAAGAATGATTTGTTATATTTTTTAATTGACTTATTTTTTCTATTGCAGAAAGTTTTGAGTTGCGTTGACGAACTCTTCATACGAAACAGATATCCTGATCAAAATCAATCTACTTCACATATTTTATTGAAATGATAATACATTTTTATGATCGAACTTGTGATTTCTTGTTCATTTGTAAAACCTGGAAAACGGCATACAGCAGTAAAGTGGAAAAGTTGATTCATCCTTGAATTTTTTTGGCCTTCGCCCTTTTCGAGCTGTGATTAAATGGGGTGGGTTTGTCCATCATCATGACGTGGGTGGACGGCAGCATTAATGCCCATCGTGCCAAGGACATTGACATGAGTCGTTTGAGCTAACCATTAAATTCACTCGGTCATTTATTCTTTATTCTTACAATTTCTAGTTAGATAGGCGGTCGAACAGTCGAACAACTCAGGATAAAAATTAGTTTTCAATTAGCATATAGTACGTATTGTGACTTCTTCCTCTGTCGAGGAATTTATTTAAAACTAAAGTACAAGAGTTCATATATATATATTTATGTACATATATTAGTACATAGGCCTATATTATAACATATGAATTAAAGACGAATCATAGAGATAAATATTAACACGTAGGATGCATCACATTGGCTTCTGAAAAGGCATTAAACGATATTTCCAATCAGAAAACGAACAAATAATAGACACAATATTAATGGTTATATCAATTGTATATGCTAGGCTATAAATTTCACCGGTTGGTCGAATAATAACTGAAGAAAGAACCGCCATTAGTATGTCACTGAACATACATATTATGGCCGTGACAAGAACTCGCCGAAGCAACGATTGCAGAGGCATTGCAGGGCGTTGTACATTGGCAATTTGCATCTTTTTCTCGTGATCACACAAAGGATAAATGAACAATACAAGTAAGATTGATTGAAACGTCACTGTTGTCGAGGCTAGAACAATCCATTTTATGGTGTACCATTTGTTTGATTCACCAAATTCACATTTATATCGCTCTGTTGTACCGTAGTTTATACCCAAGATCACGAAAAATACACAGTTTAATATGATACTGATAATCAGGATAACCAAAGTCACCCAGCTCAGTGCTTTGATAACCGGTGAAGCCAAATATTTCATGAGTTTGTGAGCATACAACAGTCTTTGTCGCCTCCATAGCATTATATAGCAGCAAGCAAAACACATTGCTGCCAAAGCAATATTTAGAGTCATTGAAAAAACACAAGAAACTTCGATCCAGAAATCGAAAATAAGTCTTACAATGCTTGACACCGTGCAGAGTATAAGCAAGCCATCGATGAACTTTGAGCTTCCCCCCTTTCTTTCACTTCCGGGGCGTGAGTTTATATTTTTTTTCGTTGACCTTATTTGAACTTGATAAAAAATCATAGCAATTAATAAATAGACCGAAAATGCAAGAAAAATAGCGGTCATCGCAAAACAGAAAAGCCATTCTGCATAGTTTGCTGTCAACGGGCTATTGTTACTAGCCGTGTAGTTGTTATCTGCTTGTTGTAAGGTGACAAAGTCCTCTTGCAAATATCCATGCAATGTGGTTTCATCATAATCTGAAGCATTACCACTACCACTCATGATATACAAACTCGTACACTAATATTGCGATAGTTCAGTGACAATCAATTATATCAATGTCCTTGGTAAAATTTCTCTTTATATTATTCCAATTTTTCTAATCCAAAGAAATGGTAAAAAATAGTCTTGTTATATAACACATTTATCTGATCAAATTACCCGAAAAGGGTTAACGCGGTCATAAAGTTAGAGATAATCGATTCCCTATAAACTGTGAACTTAGAGAAATCGTTTACATTTCTTTGAAGAACCGCGCGATTTAGTGGGTTTTCACCTGGTTTTACAATTGCCTACGTCGGGGTGCTTGAACAGTCACTGTTTGGCAAACCTACTGTTATATTCTCCTACAGAAAGAATTCTAAATGTTTTATATAAAAAGATTGATGGACTATGTGTCTATTTGTATTTTTTTTCTCATTTCTAAGGGCAACTGAGGAAGAAATAATCTTCTATGATATAAAAGATTCACATAAATCATAGACGACATCTGTGATATAATTTATAATCGTTTACGAAAAATAGATCGCACGCGCTTTGCAGCTGACACTGTCTAAAATAGGATTGAAAAAAGAACTTGTACTTTATCTGAATTAGGCGGAGCAGATCTCAACATCTCCCACCTCGTCTCTCGCTCTATTTACCACTTACATAATGGTCCACGTCCTTAGTGATTCAACATACGACTGTTAACTTAAACAAAGAACAAATGGGAGCAATAGTTCGGAATATAAATGCGGTGACGTTACTATGTTTATGCGAGGTTAGATATAGGTCGGCCTGTAATAAAACCTTATTTATACAGTGTTATGAATAGTCAAGATACTGAACCGGATATACCATCAATTCTCTTTGTCACGTGATGATTTTTATATGCATTGTGCCGGGTGAGGAGCAAAAAGCATGTCCTAAAAATGAAAAACATTCACCCGATCACCATGCTAATTACTAGAAAAGTATGCTTTGGTACAATTTTTGTCTGGAATATTCTGTTTAATAACAATATTTCTAATTTGTGTTTAAATGATACAATTTCAGTTCATTCTCAAAAATAGGATAAACACAATTCCATACAAAAACTTTTATGCGGTTTAGAATTTATGTTATGAATATGCACCGAAAACAAACAATTGGGTTGTGATCATTTGACCAGTAGAGAGTGAGCAATCGCAAGTGTTTGGCAGAATGGAAGATATTTATTTCCAATGAAACGTTCAGTTTATTATTAGTTCAATACATTTCTGTTTATCTATATAGTGTAAATTTGTTTTTGAAATTCCAAATTTATTATTGATTTCATTTGAAAATTAAACTTCAATATATTAATTACTGATTTACCAATCCCCGCGCGTTGGCGCTAGAGCGCGCAATGGACGGTTTGTATTTGTTAACTTTTGCTGAATCAACTAAACTAGACTATATAGTGAGATTAATTTGACGATTTTTCTACCCTTTCCTCTTCTCATTCTTTTTCAATGGTCAAAATTGGCTAGTTAATTCCTGATTCAAGGTAGCCTACACAATAAATAAAAGTGAACCGAAATTCAGGAATGGAAATATGACTAGACATATGCAAAATCTTTTAACTATTCGCTTCGAATTTATGCAACGCGTGGAAACCAATAATTCAAAATGCAAATCGGCATTTGCTCCGACGTATAGCACAATCATAAATTTACAGTATATATAGTAATTTCGATACTAACACTTACCTTTGGTCATAGATAAATCTCTCGTACTTTTGAATGATCTTGCCTATAGGAATTCCCTTAAAAATGAATTCTAGAAACACATATAATAGGAACGATATGTACGTAAACTATGAAATTTCCGTGGGGATTATTATGTTTGACCATGAAATAGATACAATAGATATGTATTCGTTTGATTGTTCGTTGATCGTTCTGTCGTATTATTCATAATAGCCTACTGTTTAACAACAATTTTTTTTTCGTTTGTTTCCATCTTTTGACCTAAATTTCCAGTTAGATTTTGACATGTACATTGAGAAATCACATCATTCATCTTTAAATTTGGGTTTTGAGAAAGTAAGGAATTTTCCCAAAATCTGGTTTTGGCGGATAATTGTGACATGAAACAGCATAAAACTTTCAATATAACATAGTCTATTTTCTTGTTGTTTTGATCTTCCAGAGATATATTCATTCCTTGTATTCTATGTTAGAAATCCTGACAAAATTAATTCTAACACATGTTAAATATCTTTTAAGCTACCAAACAGACTTAAAATTAATCAAAAAACATGATTTATTTTCTAGATCTACAACAATAGTCCAAGTCGATTTCGCAAATAGATCCCTAAATGTAGTCACCCACCCCTCGCTCATTGTACTGCCATTTGTGACGGACGTTTACAATCTAATATGCCGTAATAGCGCGTGAAAAAAGAAAACTTTGAATGCCACTGTTACATCAATATTTGGCTAAGACCAACTGTTGGGTGTTATTCGATGTTGCTTTTACCGCCAAAAAATTCAGTTATTTTCTAGCCATTTTCGCCCGGAAACGATGGAATTCACTAAGCAACGAAAACGTCATCAAGGCCTACTTTATTTTCAAGAAGGAATGACGGTTATCAGTTTTAAATGTTATTTGAGGTCCAAGCGTTTTTTTTTATTAAGAAACATAGAGAGTTTCAAGACAAAGGGCGTATGCAGAAATTTTTAAAACTTACAAAAAAATAGATGCTTTTTAAACTGGTTTCTGATCGAAGTTCGGAAAAAGCTATATTCACCAAAATAGTTCAACAGGTAAAACAGTTTTTTACAACATTCCCCAATTTGGGATGGAGCCCTCGCCAAGTCCTCTATTCTGGCAGCTCAGTTTATCTTTCGGTTGAACTTATAACAAATATCTTCTGATTGTTTCGCAGTATAACCAATTCAAGTGGCCAGCAATTGGAGATTTTAAGTGCGAAATGTATGATGAGTGTAAGTATTTCTGATTGACCTACAAAGTGACTTTACAAAATATCGATGTTGATTTGCCACTGGAATAGTACAACACAAAGATTTACACTACAACTGACGTAAATGACTAAAAAGAACTGATTTTTTTATCGGCAGTAACAGCAACGACAAATGGGAACCTACAACTGGTCCCGATCAAATAGCAATGCCATTGTTGCATTAAAAAATTGCTTTTTTAACAGACCCGTGATATTTGCCGATGGATTCGAGTCAAGACAACCCACTTACCTACAGGTCGCGCTTCCCAAAAATAGCATGATTACAATATCACAGACAATTTCTTTACGATAAGATTATATTCTTGAGCTGATTTAATATTATTGCAATAAAAGTATAAAATATAAAACCTATTAACGGTGCGGGTTCAATAACTTCCGTGATGAGATGGCGAATATGTTAAGAGATTATTGATATGGTGGCATGACCTTTTTTACAAAATGGTAACTGCATTATGTATCTAGCTTCTTGGTTGAAAATGCTTTCCATATTTTCAATATATTACTCACTTTAAATATATTTTTAACTTACTTTTAGTTGGTATTGTTGCTGTATG